CTACTTTGGTTACCAGCTGCTCACTGATATATGGAGTTAACCTTAAAAAGAGGAGAAGTTCCTCCCATAATTTCGAATACCTTTCTAGTATTTGATGCTAGACTTATTTAACATGAAGCTAAGACTAACAAGTTTTGTGCTGCTATAGTTTGAATAGATATGGGGTAAAATTTCTGACTTCAATACTTATTGTTGCCAGTTCGAATATCTGAGGTGGCATATTTTTCTTCGAGCGTTTCCATATCAACCTTGCAGCGAATCAATAAATTTAAAGGACAAATCATTGCCCCGCCCACTTACATTTAGGCATCGACTAATAAAATAAGGGCGCTGTCACATAGACTGACTTGGCTTAACAACAGCATAACTCAATTGATTAGAGGAATTCTATGTGTAATGGTAACTAGACAGATACCTATTCGAATCATATGGATCATCCCTGTAGGATTAGTAAAGCAAGATATTAATATGATAAATATTACGACAATCGACCGTACCAGCACGTAATTGCTCAATAAAAAAATTTATTTATAAATAGAAGAATAAACAAATGACCAGTAAACTCAGCTCTTATATCTTAAGACGAAAATCTTGAAAATTTCATCTGCTTAACGCCTACAAATAACAATTTGACAGAAACACGCTTCAGTCATGAATGTCATGTGAATTCTATTGATTCCATTAACCCTGACCGGTTAACCAGTTCACTAGTTACTAGCCGGTCCTAAGCCCGGATAAAGACGGAAGCTCCGGCATAGGACTAGCAACCCTATCCCGGAAAGCCAATCCAACCAACCGCCAAAGAAACTTCAAAGTACTAAGAAAATATAAACAATAAAAATAAACTTATTCCTCATTGGAATCGGCGAAACGAAATGACGCCGGTTGGAGAAAGCCTTCGAATAGCTAATTGGCCGATGTATCTCCTTTCTCTCGATAAAAGCGAAAGCAACAATGGGGACATGGAATGACCACACAATGTATGAACCTAGCAAGACTACCCAGATTGCAAAAGAGATGAGGAGATATGGCATGGAGGTGCTTGGAATCTACGAGGAGTCTAAAGATAGAATGGAAGTGGACTCTCAAACTGTGAACTGCAGACGAGTCAATAATCTATTCCGATATTGTCACTCAGACGACAACCACGAGCACACCGAGTTTCCGAGTGGCTATCACAATGGCCACAACAACATCGAAGGCTCACTCTCATGCAGTGGAAACCAAACTCCTCAATGATCAGGATCACGTTCATGACAACAAGATTCAACACAAAAGGAAGGAAGGAAAGTCAAAATCACACAATGCTACACTACTCTACGCACCTACAAATAATGCAGATCAAGAGAAGAAGGAGCAATTCTATAGACGACTGCAATCGGTACTGGACAAGATACAACTACCCCCCCCCCCCCCCCGCCTCCAGGTGACGATATCAAAACCCATTCTAATGCGTGCGGTGACATGAATGCCAAACTGGGAGCAGACAACACAGAAAGAGAAGCAACCATGGGTCGAGAAGCACTCAGTGAAATCATGAATGAGAATGGAGAACTGGTTGCAGGCTTCCGCGTATTCAACGATTTCGTGATTGGAGGCAAGGCAGTGTGTACAAACACAAGGATATTCACAAGGCAGAGACATGCATTCGACTTCACCAGACACCAGGACACACTACACTAGAAATCAGATCGACTTCATCTCAATGTGAAGAAAGTGGAGACGCAGCCAGCCTACTGGACACAATATCACATCAACAAGGGGAGTAGATGTAGATGTGCAGACCACCAGACCATCATCTAGTGCAAGGAACCTAACTTCAAAATCAGGTTGAAAGCCTTCACAGAAGTTGGTGATAGACGACTACAGTTGAAGTTGAACACCCAGAACACAAACTGAACTACTGGAGGACGAAACTACAAAGGACATCAAGACAACATGGGAGACACTGAGCAGTATCCCTGAAGAAACCTGTGTGGAAGAAGACTGGAACCATTTGAAAGAGATGTGGAAAGAAGCCTGCATGACCGTGTGAGGCAGGAAGAAGAAGGGAGACAACAAATGGAATGGAATGGATCTCGACGGAGACATGGAAGCTGATAGAGGAGGGAGAGGAAGATGGTGATGGTGACGCAGAAGATGAACTAGTGCAGTGCAGTGCAGTGCAGTGCAGTGCAGGGATGAACAACGAAAAGAGGAAGTGAAGACAACCTATAAAACACTCCTATGGACAAGCAAGTGCAGAAGAATGCACGCAAAGACAAAAGAAACTCCTATTAAGATACATCATTCTGGAGAGACTGAAATGTGCTCTGGATTAAAATTTATGTCTGGAACAGGCTGGATTCAGGAAGTACAAATCATGTTCGTTTCAAATTGCAATGCTGCGCCATGCATCATCATAGGACAGAGCATAGAATGGCAGTCAACTCAAATCTACCTCAACTTCATCGATTTTGAAAAGGCTTTCGACACTGTCATTTTATACCTGCGTTTCATGTCATTATGTTTCTTGTATAGAAGGTACAAAACAGGTATGGTGTCATATTAAATTTTCGTATTCATCCCAAAAATGAATGTTCACAATCTTGAAATGGTTAAATAAGAAGTCAATAGTAGACAAGTTGTCTAAAGGTCTTTTTCTCATCGCCTCTAATCTCACTCATACTGTAAGGACAAGTCTTTCATTTACAGCAGAAATAAGCAGAGTTTACTTCAACAAGTTAAACTAGTGTATTGACCAATGTTTGAACATCGGTCCTTCACGACTTGATTGACTCAGTAACTTTTGAAATCATAACCGTCTTCATACTCACGCATATAATGAAACATAAGTATGTACAGTATTTTAAGAATTATTTAGTTTAAGAGAATAATTTGAACACTGGCAAAGTCTATCACTACTTCTCAGCATAAATCAAATATAGATTACACGAATACACTATAAGAAGATAAATTTGAAGAATATTAACAATAAATTAATGTATTTTAGTTTCGCGACCTTTGTAATCAACAGCCAAAGAGCGAATAACCAATCATCTTGACCTACAAAGTTGATGGCCCACATCTCATTGAGCAAAAAACTTATCGAAAAAGCCACACTGAAAACCTGCCCCACATTTTTTTAAAGCAATGAGACCAGCAGCACCAAAATCATTCAAAATGCTTAAAGACTTGTTTTTTTCAACCAGTTTTCTTTCTTTTGAAAAGAGCAATAAAATTTCATACTAAAGAGAGATTATATAATGTAATGGATTTACACAATACACATTAATTTACGTCAAAATGCACTCCTTATATATATATACATGCGTTACATTATGATATATATAAACTGTATCTATTTCATGTATGTGTTTTGCTTAACCAGTATTTTACACACAAGTGGATAACAATGATGCTCTTTTTCTTGTAATGTAGTCAAACAATTTGCATTCGATCAGTAATTTGCATCTGTCTCTCCTACTGGTGTTTATGTGTATTAGAGATAATGAAGGGGAAAGATATCCAGTTATTTTTTTATCCCCTTTCCATCTAAATCCTCTGCTTGTATACATGTGTAGTTCCCCTGTCCTCCTTTTTTCGTTACTTAAGCATTGCCAAATACATTTCGTCTTAGGTCTGAATATAAAGTGTATTTTCCCCCTTATTTTGGTTCCTCTTCTGCTCCCGATTTTTTCTTTTCGTTTGTGTCTGAGATAAGGGCTTGTTGTAATATCATTCAATTTTATTTAAATGGAGCTGCATCGCTCATTCACCTTTTATGAAACTGATTAACGTTTTATCCACTTTGTAGCTTTTCTTTTGAGCTAGTGTAAGTTTTATTCAATGACGCCTGAACCCATGCACACATACGTATACACATAGATTACAACTCACTGATGACAAATAAAATATATTTATTGATAAGCGGGAGTAGTGCTCTACCCAAGTCCTTCTCTTTTTGTTTACCCTTTCCCAATCTCACCTATCTTTGTGTGTTTTTTAGTGTCTCCATGACTCCGTCTTTTAAGGAACGAATAAATAGACACTTACTTAATTAATTCCGGTTTCTTCATCTTCTGTCTCTGGAATTCATCCTTACTTTTATGTAATGCTTTTTCCCTTTCAGCTGACGTAAGTAGAGTATCTATTTATTCGTTCCTTAAAAGACGGAGTCATGGAGACACTAAAAAACACACAAAGATAGGTGAGATTGGGAAAGGGTAAACAAAAAGAGAAGGACTGGGTAGAGCACTACTCCCGCTTATCAATAAATATATTTTATTTGTCATCAGTGAGTTGTAATCTATGTGTATACGTATGTGTGCATGGGTTCAGGCGTCATTGAATAAAACTTACACTAGCTCAAAAGAAAAGCTACAAAGTGGATAAAACGTTAATCAGTTTCATAAAAGGTGAATGAGCGATGCAGCTCCATTTAAATAAAATTGAATGATATTACAACAAGCCCTTATCTCAGACACAAACGAAAAGAAAAAATCGGGAGCAGAAGAGGAACCAAAATAAGGGGGAAAATACACTTTATATTCAGACCTAAGACGAAATGTATTTGGCAATGCTTAAGTAACGAAAAAAGGAGGACAGGGGAACTACACATGTATACAAGCAGAGGATTTAGATGGAAAGGGGATAAAAAATAACTGGATATCTTTCCCCTTCATTATCTCTAATACACATAAACACCAGTAGGAGAGACAGATGCAAATTACTGATCGAATGCAAATTGTTTGACTACATTACAAGAAAAAGAGCATCATTGTTATCCACTTGTGTGTAAAATACTGGTTAAGCAAAACACATACATGAAATAGATACAGTTTATATATATCATAAAGTAACCCAAAAACAGATCTTTCATATAAATATGTTCATAAATGAATCATAAGCAGTTAATCGAGGGGTTCAGGAATGCTTATGAGGTTAGATTAGGAAGAATTCACAGAACAAAAATGGAATAGGGATGATGAAAAAGGCATTAAAGTATAAGATTACACATATCATGGACAATCCATACAATTAGTCTTTGACTGAGAGTCTGTGTTGTTGCAATAAACGCCAAGATCATTCACTGAATTATTTTGCAAATCAGGAGTTTCAGTTTTACAGTGTACATCACATGCAGCATTTACGGATCCATTCATCTTTTTTTCTTTTATGCAGGAATCTTGAAAAACGGGATTTTTATCGATAGGTGGGTTCATACAACTTATTACAACTCTTTTATCTACAGATTCGTCAATATCGTAGGCAACTTTCTTGACATCTTCTGTAGTGGTGAATGAGCCTGTTTTATTGGACTCACTATCTTTAGAACCATCAGTTGCTGACCGCTTACAATGTGATTCCGAACCAGTTACATCTGTTGACTTTTCACTAGATACAACCTCCGGAGATGAATCTGCCTTACCAACGTCTTTATTTGAATGCTCCTTTGCGACTTGATTAATACTCTCACGTGTATTTACTGATTGTTTTAGTAGCTCCGCCACGACTGATGGTGATGGGATTGGTGGAACAGTAGAGACTTTTATATGACTAATAGGGCAGTCACAATCTGGAAGTAAACGATGAAGTGCACCACATAATAGATGGGCAACAGTAGCATCTAGCACACGAGAAGTAACCAGATCCATTAATCGAAGCTCCAAATCAGGTGTGAAAGAAACTCGACCTTTAGAATCAACAGCTAACCTATCAAGCAAAGCACCTGCACGACGAACCATTTCCAAACTTGTTCCCATTAATTCCGGTCTTTCCTGTAGAGCCTGAACACCATACTGATCAATAACTCGCCTTGTAGTTGCTTCAGCAGCTTCAATAAACGCTAATAGTCCAGATATAGGACTAGGCTTGGCACCAGCAAGCATAGTTGTCCCGATGTATGTGCTTGTGGATGCATTTGTTTCACTAGAACTTTTTCCAATGCTTGAAGATACAGAAGTAGAGAATGAAGCACCTCCACCAGCAAGATAATGCATTGTTGACAAAGCTAATTCACGTGTTACTTGATCCTCTGGCACAGCAAGCCAGGTAGCAAGTCTATCGAATAGATTGCTAAGCACTTTTTCATCTGAAGGAGTTGACAAGAGAAGATCAACATTTGTTTCATGTACACAAAGACGATTTAAAGCTTCCAGTGCTAAACGACGAGGACTAAGAGTTCGATGACCTGGAAAAGGATCAACTGAAGCAGAAGTAGAACAAGTTATCCAGTGTAAAAGACCTTCTAAGATTGGACGTACAATTGATTCATCAAAGTGAACTAACTCCAAGTAACCAGCCACATTAACTAACAGTACCATAGCATTTTCTCGCATATCCTCCAACCATGTCGGTGTCCACCAAGCACAATAGCTAGATTCTAAAGCATGTGATTTATCCTCTACTGCTTGCCATGTATCATTTTTTCCAATGTGTTCATGCCCGAACAATATCAATCGCCCTATCAAAGCCAAAACTCCTTTCTGATTACTCAAATGTCGTTCAACTGTATTCATAAACGAAAGATTACGCAAAACAGTAGATACACATAAGCATCGAACAGCACGTGCTTCATAACTGCTTGCTTTATCATGATCTGGCCATAAACAAATAACACCATGATGAACTAATTCCTCACGAGCACGAAGTGGACAACGACCACTTTCATCTATAAGTTGAGTGAATTCCAACTCATCATCATTATCATCACACGATGAACTGATCACACAGTCAGAATTTGCATCATGCGATTCAATTAGTTTACAATCAGTTTCTTCGGATACAACATCACATATTGGTTGAGGAGACAATGTGGGACAGGGAAGAGATGAAGAAGATGAATGACGCATGCGCTTACCATGAGGCTGATCATCTTCTAATTCACTAATCTTAATCAATTCATCATTTAACTCAGTAATTGAAACAGTCTGTTTTATTGTAGCATCAACTACTGGAGACAAGGCTGAAGAACATTCTGTTAAATTGGGTAAATGGTCATCATCACCATGCAACGATCCACTCTCTTGATGATTCACCCAATGTGAACTTTGAAATGCATGAGCGCCAAATGGTGGCATAATGTGACAAGTTGTATCCCCACCACCTTTTTCCATCAAACATCGTAAACGCTACTACTGGATTTTGTTGTTATGGTTGGTTTTGTTGGGTTCAACTGATCACTAGTTTGAGAAGCTGAACAGGTTTCACTAGTTTCCGGTGGATGGTTGTTGCGGGATTCAAGCAGAGTATCAATGACATACAGAGCTAGATCTCTCAAATTTGAATAAGCTTCTGGTGCTCGTAAGCTATCCACAATAGATGTGATTTGTGGTGTTGACCATACCATTATGCCATCAGATTTACTGACTGCATTCGAAATATTTATATTAGAAGACATATTTGTATGAAGTTGTTCGCTCGTTATATTACTAGATCCTGACATGTAATTTGGTGTTGTCGAAGAGAACAACAAGTGTTTGCCACGTTTCCTAGACCGAGAACTCAGAGAAGAAACAGGAGTACTTGTATCCACAGACCTACTAGACGAATTACATGAAGTAGACAGATTCACAGCCACACTGGACATAGTGGGAAAATTTTCAACCCGTAACATCAAACCATTGCGTAGGCGAACAGGAGGATGGAGAGACCTTGAATTGTTGCATTTGTGTAACAGACGACGCAAACCAACACGTACAGAAGATAATGGCACATCTTTAATGGCAGCAATCCGACCTATTTCTCGTTCCAACTGAATTAAACTAGTACTAGATGTCTCATCATTAAGATAAGATTTGCCCTTTACATCCAAGTACGATAAATTTGTTTTTAGATTGGATGAATAATTATTGCGTACATTCTTCAGCACTAAATCATGTTTAGTATCGGTGTTTGCAGAGGGTATGACTGTTAAATCTGTTGGTAGCTCTAAAGATGTTATAAATAGGTCATGATCAAATAATTCACCCAATGTATGACGCCATATATCAACTAGACTAGTTAGTAATCCAGGCAATGCACTCGGGACAATTAAATCGATTCCGTTTTCATCTCTCAGCAAAATATTTAGACAATTTAATGCCCAGGACACTTCTGCTGTCAAACCGGATCGAAGAGCCATCAACAGTTTAAAGGGTGCAATAGGACCTGTAAGAAAGAAACAAAAAACATCAATAAAGCTTGGAAAAGTTATGAGCCTAAATATCACGAATAATATTAAACGACGGTGAATACTAAAATCTACAATATATGTCATACCCTAGGTAAAACTTATTAGATAGATATGTCCAGTCCTCGAATGATGTTATTAACTACGGAAAACATTATTTTAGATATTAGAAAGAACAACAATTTTAGTGGAAATACCTTCTCAGTGATTTCATTCTGTATAAATGAACAATGACAATTTTATATCTTTCGATTGCCCTAGATGTTAAGCGGCACGGAACATGCATAATTCATTCCGCAGTTAGTCTCTATCCACTATTAAACCATTAAAAGAAAGCAAGTCCATTTTAGTTAGAACTGATAACTATATCCCACTGAATCACAACAACTTGAAATAGAAAAACTAATCCTTGACAACAGTTCAACGTCGTAAGCGACACATTGTTTCAACTTATCTAATCACTTTTAACAAAACAGGAAAGGAGTGAAGGCACTCAAGTAATTTCCTAACAATAAGCCATATAGTATTGCGTGAAAAGCAAGTGAACAACGATTATGATGACATCTCTAAATCAGCAGAATATGTAACCAATCTAGAAGGCATTGTTTCTAAAGTAAAACCATGAAATTTACACAGCCATCTCTTCAATTGTCAGTTCATAGATTGACTAACCTAGATGTTGAATAGCTTCAAAAGTTTATGGGCAATAGGTGATAATGACAAGAGATAATATACCTATCCTTGATACCAATGCAAACTGATAAACAAAAATTTCATAAAGACATTTAGATTAGGCAGCTTCCATAAAATGCATTAATTATCAACCCAGCAATCGACTTAACAAGTTAATAGCCAAAAAATGCATGAAAAAAGTTCACAACTTCGAATTACAGAAGAAATACAGCTAAAAAAAACAACAAGCAACTGAAAAACTCGTATAAGCTGAAGTGATGAAATGATTTAAAAACCATTGTCTAACCAGCTAACAAAGTGGTTAATATTAAATCATACAATTAGGAAAAGCAACCATTACTACTACCAGCCTTTCATTCCATAGATTGAAGAGATGCAATTAAGTCTTTGGAAGACAAACCAAAAGCATGAATTAGTCAACAGAAGTTCCTACTATTTCTAGTTGTCAGAGTCACATAAAACATAGTCACACCTAGATGACATGCACACATATATGCCATTTTTATAAGGATGTGAAAGTTCAACGAAAAGTAAGTATGCGGTATATCACCTAATAATCATGTTTTAGCTGAAGGTATCATGACGAATAAATAAATAAAAACCCAGAGTACATGTTTTATACCCATACACTACCGTATATGCTAACGTGATCTAAATAGATTATGTTAAACTAAAGCAACAAGTTTGGGGCACGTACATACTACCCACCATCTAACGATGGGTTCGTCAATTGAAAATAAGTAAGCATGTTAACCACTCGAACTATATTCAACAGGTTACAACATGCTTCGTATTTTGATTTAAATCTTCAAATTACGATTATGAAAGAAGCTAATGGCATTAAAATTAGGTTCACAACACGATATACGACATGATGTCAACTTGTGTTGGAAAAAAAACTTTACCATATAACAAAGTAACAGAGCTTTAGTATACTAAGTTCTAAATAACATAACATAATATACCAATAAAGGGGCGAAAAACGACAGCTGATTTAGGACTGAAGCGATTACAACAATTCTACTTATAGGTCATTTTTTTCCGAATGAATCATAAAAACTCACCTATTTTTTCCTTCTGAAACACAAGGGTAAACCTATCTAAGAAAACCTTTCGAACCATGTTTTGGTAGATTTTTGTCATCAGTTCGATGGGATTCTATTTCTTCATACTACGAGACATGATAAAACAACTTGCATTACACAAGGATTCAATAAATACGCTATAGGTCAATCAAAACTGCTACATTTAAGTTGCACGTATTCGAAGAATAGGATACCTTTGACATTGAGTACTAAACAAAGATATGTAAACAAAAACATATGGGGGAAAATTTTTCATACGAATGAAAAAGTTTTGCGTACCTAAGTCTTTAGTCCGATAACGTCGACGCCTGGGGAATCAACAGGTGTAGCTTCTACACTACCGGGTGGAAAGGTATAATGATCCAAACGTTTGAGAATGGTAGTAACATATCCAGGTCGCTTAAAACAAAAATGCGCACAGGAAAAATAAGACATGATAATAAAAAGTCTATTCTTATCGAGTGACTTTAAAAATAACTGCTAAACAATAAGCTCTACAACGAAGTAAAGTATATTTATATATCTATCTTATTGACAGCCTTATGACAAAAGACTTCGGTAAACATTTTCGACAACAAAGAAACATGATACTTAGCCAAAATCAATTCGCTAGGTGACTGACAATACCACATGAAACGGCCAGTGCTAAATCTTCAGTGGATTACGGCCAGTCACACGGCAAGTAACGCATTGTAAATCCCGTTACTTATTATGTATACATGAAGACAGAACATTTCAATACACAGTTTCTGGAATGAGAACATTGAAAATATGGGCTATTTCAACACTGATCTTATCAATTTCTACAGAAATAATAAATATTACTAGACAGTAAACAAGCATTTCACCATATTACCGTCTAGTATAATCGAGTGAACGCGCTTACCTAACTAATTCACTAGTTACTAGCCGGTCCTAAGCCCGGATAAAGACGGAAGCTCCGGCATAGGACTAATAACCCTATCCCGGAAAGCCAATCCAACCAACCGCCAAAGAAACTTCAAAGTACTAAGAAAATATAAACAATAAAAATAAACTTATTCCTCATTGGAATCGGCGAAACGAAATGACGCCGGTTGGAGAAAGCCTTCGAATAGCTAATTGGCCGATGTATCTCCTTTCTCTCGATAAAAGCGAAAGCAACAATGGGGACATGGAATGACCACACAATGTATGAACCTAGCAAGACTACCCAGATTGCAAAAGAGATGAGGAGATATGGCATGGAGGTGCTTGGAATCTACGAGGAGTCTAAAGATAGAATGGAAGTGGACTCTCAAACTGTGAACTGCAGACGAGTCAATAATCTATTCCGATATTGTCACTCAGACGACAACCACGAGCACACCGAGTTTCCGAGTGGCTATCACAATGGCCACAACAACATCGAAGGCTCACTCTCATGCAGTGGAAACCAAACTCCTCAATGATCAGGATCACGTTCATGACAACAAGATTCAACACAAAAGGAAGGAAGGAAAGTCAAAATCACACAATGCTACACTACTCTACGCACCTACAAATAATGCAGATCAAGAGAAGAAGGAGCAATTCTATAGACGACTGCAATCAGTACTGGACAAGACACCACCCCCCCCCCCTCCGCCTCCAGGTGACGACATCAAAACCCATTCTAATGCGTGCGGTGACATGAATGCCAAACTGGGAGCAGACAACACAGAAAGAGAAGCAACCATGGGTCGAGAAGCACTCAGTGAAATCATGAATGAGAATGGAGAACTGGTTGCAGGCTTCCGCGTATTCAACGATTTCGTGATTGGAGGCAAGGCAGTGTGTACAAACACAAGGATATTCACAAGGCAGAGACATGCATTCGACTTCACCAGACACCAGGACACACTACACTAGAAATCAGATCGACTTCATCTCAATGTGAAGAAAGTGGAGACGCAGCCAGCCTACTGGACACAATATCACATCAACAAGGGGAGTAGATGTAGATGTGCAGACCACCAGACCATCATCTAGTGCAAGGAACCTAACTTCAAAATCAGGTTGAAAGCCTTCACAGAAGTTGGTGATAGACGACTACAGTTGAAGTTGAACACCCAGAACACAAACTGAACTACTGGAGGACGAAACTACAAAGGACATCAAGACAACATGGGAGACACTGAGCAGTATCCCTGAAGAAACCTGTGTGGAAGAAGACTGGAACCATTTGAAAGAGATGTGGAAAGAAGCCTGCATGACCGTGTGAGGCAGGAAGAAGAAGGGAGACAACAAATGGAATGGAATGGATCTCGACGGAGACATGGAAGCTGATAGAGGAGGGAGAGGAAGATGGTGATGGTGACGCAGAAGATGAACTAGTGCAGTGCAGTGCAGTGCAGTGCAGTGCAGGGATGAACAACGAAAAGAGGAAGTGAAGACAACCTATAAAACACTCCTATGGACAAGCAAGTGCAGAAGAATGCACGCAAAGACACCTACTTCTACGACACACCGGCAAGTGAAGCAGAACAGGCAGTAGTAGGTAGGAGAGACAGAGACGTGACGACACTATATCAAATATCCATGTTACTATCCATCGGGGAGGGGAGAGATCAACGCAGACGAAACCAATGAAAGATAGAGAAGGGAACCTAGTTACCACCAAAGAGGAGAAACAAAGGAAACAAAACGATGGTCTGACCACTTCAAGAAAACTCTTGTGTCGACCACCACCACCAGCAGCCCACCCACAGGACTATCAGTGAACACAAGCCTCCGACAAAAGTAGGAGTGAAGTCCTGTAGGTCACAAAGTTGCTGAAATCGGGGAAAGCAGTAGGACCAGAGGGAATTCCTCCAGAAGCAATGAGACAACAGAGGACATACTCACACCATTATCGCAGGAGGTTTGGAAGGAGAAAGGCAGGAAAGGTACCTGCCGACCGACTGGAAGAAGGGCTACCTTGTCAACCTTCCAACGAAGGGTGGGAGTCTTCGCAAGAACTGGCGAGGAATCATGCTCCACCCTTGTGGACACGAAGCAAAATATGAAGGCGCATCATCCTGAAGAGACTGAAATGTGCTCTGGATTCAAAATTCTGACCAGAACAGGCTGGCTGGCTTCAGGAATTAAAAATCATGTGCGGATCGAATTGCAACGCTACGCTATGCATCATCATACGAGAGAGCATAGAATGGCAGTCAACTCAAATCTACCTCAACTTCATCGATTTTGAAAAGGCTTTCGACAGCGTCGACAGAAAAATAATTTGACAGGCAGCCGCCGGAAACCCAGTGATGGGTAGTTGGAATCCTGCGGCGATCCAAATTATTATTTCACCTTCAATCATCACCCATTATCAATAATAGTCTGCGAAACCACGGCTATCTCAGATAGTCAAAATGACGTAATTGTAATTTAAATAATATTTAATTTCAAAAGTTTTCGCGTACACCACAGAGTACTTATGCTCCTACAATTCATCGAAATGAATTACATGAAGATGTAAATTTATAACTGCAGATTTATTTTTGCAAAAGGTTTTTATAACCATCACAACCAATCAGTGTTTTTTTATCATGTGATTAATTTGCCCTACTAGTATACGGGCACTAACTTTATACACGATCCCATGCCTAGGAGTAAGCATAAATGCATGAAGTAATAATACGGTTTATTTATAATATTCACCGTACCCATCTATTGTGAGTAGTATCAATACCATTTGTCTTAAAAATCTTAAGAACTCGTTCCCGATCGAAATAAAATATACAAATAACAGATTCTTAGTAGACAAAGATGCTGACAAAGCAGAGGGATTATTTTGATTCCTTTTTTGTGTTATTTGCAAGTATAGGAACCTAAGCTGGTGTAATTGACATCTCTATCTACGAACTACTAAAATATTACATAAATGGTCCGAAATACAATAATACTAGATTAAACAAAATTCAAACCAATCAACTTCTGATTGCAAAGTCATCTACCTACCTGACTGTGGTGAAGTAAATGAGGCGGAATAGGAGAACTATGATTTAAATTAGTGTTGTTATTATTAACAGAACCACAAAATGGAGGCACAGCACCACCAGGGATATAAGGTTGCATTTGAGGAGCGCCGGGGCGTAATTGGTGCATACGAAGCAAAGCAATTGAATCTCCGCTTACAGCACTTGGTGGAGCGGCTGGGTTGAAAGATGGTGTACGGAAGGAGTGGTTACTTGGGTGACGTGGATACATATGGGGTTGAGATCCTGGAAATGGGTGTTCAATAGCTTGAGGAGGAGGAACATGATGTTGGTTAATCATCGGATGGGACGGATTTGAAACAAACGGAGGACCATGAGTCAAATATGGGTTGAAATTGTGTTGTGCTATAACTTCTATATTTCCTGAAGGAGTAGAAGATGTGCAACTGGAATTCGACACACCAGCATACATACTTGATGCAGGTGGGATATTGTTGTTAGAGGGTAAGCTCCCAGATGGAATACGACCTATAATAAGGTTAATGAAAGAGAAAAATACATTTATACATCATGTTTGCTAGATGAAATACACGCGTAATACAAGCAGTAAAAATGAGAACTACAATATCTACGATGCTTAAACTTAATGGTCTATTTTCAGATTGTGTCACTGGTCATACCCTGCCAAGAAGAAAAAGGTACAGTTTTATCCCTTTCATATTTGATCAGCTTAGAAACCCGGAATACAAACAAATAATTGGTCACCGGATACGACTACCACTTTCATTAAATATATCGCAGTTAGTAAACAGTCAGCATACTCAATAAGGTTGGTAAGGAACCAGATTGGTTACAAGAAGGCACCTGGTTCGTAATCTCGAACGACGTAACGAGAATAGCACTTGCTGCTCTTACTGCTTTGTTTATGTCTGTAATTTCCTGTTACTTAGGTTGCCTTTTAACATCAAATATCATTGTCATACTAAGATCAATATGCCGAAAAAGATTACCTTGTATAGTTTAATCAAGAACATCAGATAACTAGTTTTCTGAGTACATACACAGAATCGAATCGAAATCCATTCGGTAACGTTGTACACATTTGTGCAGTAGTCAATGAGCCATACCTATTGTGTGACACCTACCCAAACCTAGGTAGGTAGAACGGTGTTCGAACTCGTGACCCATTGGTTGGAAGCCAACTGTCCAAACCGATGAGCTCCGCATCTACACATAGGATTAGGCTTATCATTTAAAAAATATCAGTCAAATGTTTTCAGCCCACTCAAACCATGTTTTTATATTCCTAGACAGATGTTGCGTGCAATACAAAACTATTGGTTTGTGATAAGTCTCGCATTTCTGAAATGTTCAGCTGTATAACTCACTCTTCAAAATTATATCCAGTAAACCTAAACCTGTTAGTTATTCTAATCAAATCGAGTCGAAATCCAAATTCACTCAACAGCCACGTACACGTTGATCCAGCAAACAATGAACAACAACTATTATGTGGAGAATAATGGTACTACCTGCCTTCCAACACTTCAGTAGGTGAGCGGGAAACGAACCCGCGACTAATCGGTTAGAATCGAATTATCTGTCAGGTTCCATACCCATCAGTAGTCCTATCTAATTAAAGCTTAACTAAAGTTGATGGGAAGTTCTAAAGAACTTACCATCTTCTGTTAACATACTCAGAAAGATAAGATGTAAAATAATGAACCAAAATACAATTTCGAATTTTCGTACATACTTTGAGTGTACTGAGATGAGGTAGATTCTCGAGTTACCAACACAACACCAGGCATCGTTGTTGATGGCTCTGATGCTGATGGAGACTGGTGAGTAACCGTTTCGGAATTACTGTTCTCAGGAGTCCAAGGCCATGGACAGCAACTGCTGTCAGAAGTAGATACAGATGCATTTGGATAACCATTGATAGCAGTACATGAAGAAGGACGCTGGGGAGAAGGAACATTAGTAGGAGTAGGACCTGAAGATGGCATATATGAAGTACTACTTTGTCCTGACAAGCCAGGTGGGCTGGGGGCATTCGGAATACAACTAGGGCTTTCTGGAACAGTAGAAACACTTCCTGGTTGGCCATGGTCACTGAAACGTTGATGCTGGGATGAAGGAGGTCCAAGCTGGCTATCACTTGCTGCACTCCCAGCAGTCCCACTTGGTCCACCAGATAATGAAGCTCCACTGCTACCTGGAGGCAAAAGACTGGATGATGCAGAAGAATGACTTCCGGTTGGTGATGGAGGGGCAGGAGGAGGTAAATCACCAGATAAACTATTTGGATCACCATCAATCGAAGAACACCTCCTCTTTTTTCCAGACTGATTCTCTATATGGGCAAGTAAAGGTCGAGGATCAATACCACCACGATCGAAACGGCATTCATAATCCAGCAAAAGCTTACAGTAGTTTTTGCGTAAAGCATATGCTGCTGAGGCAGACGCACTGATACCGATTGCTTGACTTATTTCTTTCCACCTTCGGGCTTTTATCACTTCTGCTACACCACCACGTTCTCTTACAGCCACGTAAAATCGATAAAGATCGAGAGGTTGTTTAACGACTTGGGGAATACCAACAACAGGTTTTCCAATATCATCCATAAAACGTATGTAATTCTCGAGCCACGGTCGTCGTTCAGGTTCATTTCCCATTTCCAACAATTTTTGGAAACCGCTAAGACTCTGACTAGATATACTACTTAAAGATTGGTGAATAGAACCAACATTCGAATGTGCTCCATCTGTAGAATAAAATGAACTCTGATTACTCGCTGAAATGGCAACATTCTGGGGTTGTTGTGATGGGATCAGGGAGTTGGAAGGGGAGTGATATTGCTGCTGGAAGCCCTGAAATGATGGACCTTGTAAAACTTCTCCGCTACTACCGGGTGCTCCACATTGAGGCCCAAATGAACCAGATCCTAATCCCGGGGGGTAATTTCCTACTTCAGGATACTGTTGAATTTGTGGATGACTAGACTGTGATGCTAAGCGATGTTGATAGTGTTGTGGAACACTTACAGAGTTTGGTTCACCAGAAGCTACACCGCTTTGATTGGCATTCATAATTTGTGAAGATGACGAAATTGGAGTAGGACAACCGGAACTAACTGGTCGAGTAGGTAAATCATTCTATAAGTAGAAAGTTAGGAGAAACAAATCGACATTACATAAAGCCCCATTGTGATATAAATGAAGGCATACATAACAATAAACAATAGTAGCATGCTAAAGAAAGACAAATTATAACGTACCAGGGTCGAATCAGGAAGAAACATTTTACGCTGGATGGACAAAAGTAATACAGTACCCGACAAGAAAAGACGTATCAAACCAAACTGTTAAATTTTATGAATTTTACAGAGAGCAGATATCACAAAGTGAAATAAACAACAACAATAGACGAAAACGAAGAGGTCAATTCTTTGACTAGGGATGGAATCCTAACCTCCTACATGACAGATTCAGACATTCACTGCTATAACTTTGTTGTTATCATTAAATTCAAATGTAAGAATGAAATACCGGAAAAAAATTAGAATACAAAGGAAGATGTATCCGTACCACTGTCTAATGTAAAACTAAATGAAATTAAAAATCTAGCCACTGATTTTAACAACCCCAAAGCCTAAGTTGCGAAAGGTGTGTGATCAAGAGTATCAATCGATGAACCAATGAGTTGGTATTATGCTGTATCCAAGTCAAAATAAAATGTTATGGGTACTGGAGACTAAGTATGCACAATCTATGTTCTTGAAACCTCAGTAAGTGGCACATTTTATTCTCATATCAGCGGAGACTATCGTTTTACGTATTCAGTGTGTTTATTGTTACTAACCATTCTAGCATGCATTAGTGTGATGGAAGTTGCGATTAAACTAAGTATATGTTTATTGGTTTACTGTGTGACAAGGATTGTTATGAATATGATCACGGAAATATTTATGTTTGCAACTTATACATGTAGAGTCGAACTACTAGATAAACAAATAAGTAGACAGCAGAAAATTGTTGAATAAATATCAACACCTAATGACCGTTGGCCTAAACACGTCGCTTATACAAACAAGCTAAATACTACACTGAATACAGCTATTCACTTTTTTGATATGAAGCCTAATGTTTAGTAACTGACACAGAAAGTACTTGTCCATCAGTACAGAACTTAAACTAACTAAATTTCATAGAATGTCAACCGTCTTCTAACTAACTGAACTACCTTATTATTATTTTATAAGAACTTTTGTCACTGGCGCGAATGCGACATTTGATTATTAAAACCAGTCCTTCATTTTTTCATATACTACACTAAAATATTGGCTTAGAGCTCTTCAAACTGTGAAATGGTCATCTGGAAGTCAAAATGAAAAGGGTTTTGGATAAACCACTGATCAAGTAGGAAATGTTACCGACACCGTGACAGTATCATCAACAATCGATATGATGAAATTACGATGAGGGGAAATTACTTCGCTGAGATTAAACGCAAAATTAAACCCACTTTGCCTTAAATGTTTTATGAAAAGTTTCGCGAAACTTTAAAACTGATTTACACGATCATCCTATACTGGGGTTTTGCAGCAAAAGGTGCCATAGTTCCCCGAAACCTAATCCATAAGTTAACTAAATTAACCAACCAAAAGTATACAATACATTATTTGACATTCGTGTTATACTGTGCAATAAGCATACATGTAAAACTTAGGCACTGTGGTAGATGTAATTCCATATTAGAAGTGTTTATTTGATTTATAACACAGTGATACAGTATTATTTACTGGATAACATTTCAAGCACAAATCATCGCCCATAATCATATCAATGTGACAAGATATGATTATGGACAATAATTTATGCTCGAAACGTCATCAGGTAAGTAATACTGTATCACTGTACAATAAGATTATCCGGATCTACACTCTACTTGTTGATATGTATTATAATGAACTGCAAAACCTTTCATTATTTTAAAGATACACAAAGGCATTTAGACATGAATATAAATTAGTTTCAGAATTTTTCTTAAAACGTTTCCTAATTAATTCACAGGGCAAAACTGAAGAACAGGTACTAACCTTTCCCATTTTTCCAGATACAAGATTTGCTTTGGAAATAGCATTTATCATCGAAGACGGTCTTACAACACCAGGTGATCCACCATTCTGAGGAAATCCAGTTGACACGAAACTCTCATTTGATGACGAGACTAAAACATAAATATCGAATAAAAATGGCTTTAGTTTACCAACACATAATGTTTAAAACTAAATTAATCAGATGAAAATTTGGACCACGGCCGGAAACCCAGTGGTCGCTGGTTCGAATCCGACTGCGGTCCAAATTTTCATTTCACCTTCAATCATCACCCAGTATAAATACTAGTCTGCCAAACTAAGGCTATCATAAAGAGTCAAATGATAATAAATTAATGAGAATAATCACTCACGTTAGCTCTATTAAACTCATTCTATTGATTACTTATTTATCAGATAATGGTTCTATTAGAACCAGTTAAATACACAGAACAATCAAACTAAGGTGTTAGTACATGTTTAAGGATACCAGTCAGTATTGTGGACCTGAAACATTTACTGAAAGACTAATCCTATCACATTCCCTTTGATGCTGAACATGAGATTAGAGTAGATACAGCCTCACAGTAGAATGAGATTAAATACATGCAAACAATGACAAAACGATGAGTTCCAGAAGTGTAAGTGGTTCTGAATAAATAAATACCTGGAGGATGTTGTCCATCGTGAGGATATTGCATATGAAATCCTTCTCTGGAATTCTGAATATGTTGAGGTAAAGGTGATGAACTATTAAGCATAGGTGAAGAGTAATTCGATGCGACAGCGCTAGTAGGTGCTACCATATGCTGGGGATGTTGCTGTTGTTGCAAAATGGGACCTCCAGGTCCAGGTGAATAGGGATGATTATATTGAGACTGAGGATGGTAAGCCATTTGCGACTGTGAGTATGGGTACTGAGTGTGATGGCTTGGATATGACAGAGACTGATTATGGGGATAGGGCCCAGCAGACGAAGGCTGTAAGTTTTGCCCATTATGTGCCATTGAGTTTGAGGCATTAGAGTTAGGAACCGATGCAGAAGGCGGATAACCAACTCCACGATCCGTTGGTCCAAGATATGGTGGCCGACCGCCTAAAAAATTAAAAAAGCACCAACCATTCAAAACAACTCAAAAATATGTTAAATTTATGCAACCTACGGTATGATAACTTCAATGCTTAAAACTTAAAAAGACTCGGATTTTAACCCACTCAAGTATCTGCTAAAAGTTGAGTTAAACTTCCTGTAAGTCTCATATTCCCCCTATTACATTGAATAGTAAACCAATAACTGCAAAAATACTTTTTTAATGATATTCTATATCCAAGACCTTCAGATACCTCAAGAGAACATAACTGCATCAGATTTTAGTTATATCGAGACTGAATAAAGTAAGAGGATTCCCTATGAAGACTATTTGAAAATATGGCGCTGAGCAACATGGACTTGAAAAATGAGGACGATTACTCCTACTTAATAGCTGAAATCATTTCTGTAATCTGACTATCGAAGCTTAACGGACCAGATGACTAGTTTAGCTTTCCTTACTTCTCTTTCTTAACAATGTTATTAAAAATTATTCTGAAGCGAGACGTCAGCGATTACGAACCAAAAAGCTATAAAACTTTCATATCAATATTTAGACAAGAATAAAGGGTGAATACAGTTACACAGTCATCAACAACTTAGTGGTCGAATACTGTCCGCAACTACCACGAAGTATCCTCAAATTTCATGAGATTTAAAATGAGTGCTGATGTAGATAGACAGATAGATAATATCACCATGGAACTTGGCATTACTGTGTAATGGTTCAAGTTGCCATGCCTCATATCAGTACATCGAGAGAGAATCCACTAAGATAAAAGACAAAGAAGGAAGGAAGATCACGAAAGCCATAGAACGTTGAGAAAAGAGAGCAAAAAGGAATGCTGAGGAGGCTACTTGTGAGTTACCATAAACTCATAAAGTGGCGGATAAAATCACTAACCACATAACAGATTTGACAATGAAGAAACAGGAATTCTTATTAGGGTTGGGGGACAACTCTAACCAAACTTAGAGTTGCGCAGCAAACGGCCGTCGCATAATTTTGAAAAACGAATTATCAATTATCTGAAGAGGGTTTTCACGGTCACCACAACTGACATCAATCCAGTAGCTAAGCGAACCAAAAGATTACAAGGAATGGTTAAAAATCATTTGTCACAAGCTCAGCTTATAAAGAAAAATTAACTTCATTTTGTGGTGTAAACGATCAGTATCCCAGGCCTTATCTTAAGTGATTGTTCTTCAGCAATAGTATTTCTTCAGATCCTGTCGGCTGCTTTAAGTGGCTTCTTACAATGTGGAGTTAAACTATTTTGAAAGCAAGTTAGCTTATTGCTCTGGTAAAGAACAAGAGAGGAGTGAAAATGTATTTTGGTAAATGCATACAACTTCGTATGATGAGCTGCGAGTCATACTTATATCAGAGACTTAAGATGTTACCTGACTAAGATTCATAAAGTTAGGACAGATACGAGGTCATAACCCACTGATTCAGAATCAAATGACAAAGAAAGTGGGGTTGCACGGCTATACTATGTTCAAAAGAGAACCGAATGAAGAGGCATGTATAATGGTGGAAAATATAAATGTTAGCTCACCAAACTGAGGATGAAACGCACTGCTAGGATGCGGTGGTTGGTAAGAAATTTCTTGGTCCCAAGATGGATGAGGACCATAAGCAGAACCCGATGTACCATAATTAGTACTAGCAGAAGACATAGGCGTTGAATACGGTTGAACTTGTGTAAATGTTGTTTGAGAGGGTCCACTGTTATCACAAGCAGTTGACTGATTCGATGAGAGAGAGGAAGATGGCAGTGTTAGTGGAGGTGGCATAGAACTTGTACTGGTTGGTCCAACAGACGATTGCGGTTGAAACTGCGGTCTCCCAGGTACACAGCTGGGAACAGAAGTAGCTGAATGAATAGATGGAGGGCGCAAAGGATATCCAGCTGGATATCCAGGTGGCCGACCACTCACTGAATAAGGACTATTGGGAGGAGCTTGTGGATGAGGATATGATGGATACGGCATACGTGGAATGCCCATTTCCTGGTTTACCACGCCGTATGGACGAGGTGATGGTGCTGTCCGACTGTTTTGATGTGGCCCTTTACTTTGACCTATATTAGAAATGAATATATTGAGATGTAAAAATATTGTATATAAGCTACATTCAGGATTAAAATATAAACTAAGAGGATATAACATATGAGGTAATAGGCATATCTTAATGGCATGATAAAAAAAGACACGGAAAAAAATGAGAGCTATCGGATTACAGAAGTGATGATGGGAAAAGTACAAACTGTGCTCTGCTTCTTACCGACGTAAATCCAAACGAACAAGTATATTTAGATGTAACAACTCTTCAGGCAAATTTTATGAATTTGTCATCTAAAAAAATTGATATGCAAGATAGGCATTGAACAACGTACTATAACGATGGTGTAGAAATCTATGTGAATTTCTAGACGTACAATAAACCTATATTTAAATGTAACAAACAGTACAAGGTAACTTAGTAAGATAGTTTTTAGGCATTTATTTGAAATGTTTAGTCGAAAATACAGTACATTAACTTCAAAAGTCGTATATTTATGGTAATCCGTGACTGATGATTCATGAAGTATTCAGTTCCTCAGAATCCAAAAAATAATTAGATTCGAAAACGAAATTTCCAAGAATTCTTTAGCTGGACAACCACTAGCAATAAACATGACATTTTTCAATACCACACAAAGAAAGACAGTTAAGGATATTCCGTACTTTTCTTACTTATGGCTCTTTGTGAATTCTTTTTCTTTGTGCATTTTGATCCCACGCGGGTCGCATTTGACATAACCCATTAGTGTTCTAATTGGCTCCTGTTTTTTATAATGTACTAATTATCCCTTGTCTTTCAAGTTCATTGCAATTCTGTATACATAGTGACAGTCTTCACTAATACATATCTTTGGTTCGAGATACTATTAGTTAACTTAAACACCAGTCTCCTGATTTTACTCTGCAAATCACTCGAGTTGTCGTTTCAAACCTCAGACCGTCAATCGTTAGTTCTCGCAACTTCAAATCATAGTGGCGAGAAGGATAAATTTCTTGATATAGATTCTCTTAAAATGGAATCTTTGTTGAGACAAAACTCATCAAAATTGTGTCTGGTACCAAGACTGCTTTGGATCACCGTCCTCTATTCTGCTCCCAGTTCGGTTCCTTCTATTGATAGTTTGACTAACAGGATCAGAGATGTTCCGTGTGATCCAGAGACCAATTTCACTGTTGACATTTGATATACACATTGTTAAGACCACTTTCAAAATCGATTTTACCAGCCAGGATGACAGATGTAAAATTCGACTTATGTTTGGGTAACTTGGTCCAGTAGAACTGGATACTTAGTGCAATCAAACCATCCAGTCAAAACTTTGATGATCATTCATCTCGGTCTAACATACACCTCCGATACATGTAGCTAAAATGAATTGATCACGATGATTTTCTTACACATGTCAGAGTAGAAGTCAATGGAGAATGTGAACGATTTCCATTGGAGACATTATCCGATGATCAATTCAAGTCACCGACCCTCATCTGTAGTCTCCAACAGCCAAAACTTTCTAATATTCCCACTCGGTTGCTGCTGAGTTGCATGGAACAAGACCTTAAGTTGAGTCTATACTAGATGAGAGACGAATACCAACTTTTGTCAAACCTTCGAGATGATACGACTCCAATACAATGTGATGAACCTAATATGGCTGACATCAATACTATCCGCCAGTTATCAAAATATTCTTCACCTCCGAATTCCGCCCCTTCCAAGTAAGTATGGTTTGTTACGTATTACATCTTATTCGCCACCTATAACCTGCCACCTCACACAACATCCAGTAGTCTCTGTCTTCACCTTGTTGGCTCTGTAGAGTCTGACACTACGTCAAATATTGCCGATACAAAAAACACTGTTGCTGCCAGTGAAAGACCAACGAGCACAAAGATAGTTGCTGTAAATTACGCCGCTAACAACCTTTGACCTCCGTAATAAACCTTGGTCCCAAAACTATTTGAAGCTAATCGGCAACTCCATGCACAGCACGGACACCCATACTGTCCGAAAAGATGTTCCTGACAGTACCACTAAACAACTATCCGATCGATTTGCAGTTGAACAATGCATCTGACACTACGATTATCTCCAACAAGCCCTAATGTGACATCGGTTCACTGCTATTATAGAGACCTGCTATAACTACACGAGGTGCTCTCCTTCCACTGTCTTATAAGCGCGTGTGTAACATACTCGTCGATGATCATACAATTAAAGGACCACGTTACATTCTTAAAGCTAACCTCAATTTATCAGGCTTGGATTGGTTTGATCACATTGAGTATCAGATATTCTCAACCAATCCCTAGTTTTGGGTCTCGTGAGCATTACCTGCATCAATGTGGAATGTTCAACCACTCCTATGCAGACTACTCAGTACGGATTTCCTCTGAGAATGATTCAGAAGGCTATACACAAAATCAACGCACAACCACGTACAGAAGTGCATCGATCCAAGTTGCCACACCTCACAGTGGTATACAGAGAACACGTGGACAGAAAAATAGTGATGTCAAAGCAAATACAGTAGTGTGAGAGAATATACAATCTGAAGACAAAGATTAGTGTGGGTTTCCAAGCTTCAGATGTCAAGGAGAGAATACATTTGCACCATTGTAACCGATTTTCAGACATGTCACCAAGTGCCCTCAACCATTGATTCATTCGGTCTCGGGAACCCCAACCAGGTAGTCTACATCTCCCCACACTACTCAGGTCAACAGTAAGGGACTTCGTGGACTGGTGGCAGGTCTTGGTCCAGCCATCCCGAACCCTTTTCCATCCTAATCCAACTTCTCCTAACATGACATGTCGACGTAGGTAGTGGCTTGGCGTGCCCAGTACATGTCATGTCCAAGCCATCTCAGTCGACTAATGTTTACAACCTCGTCAATCGACTTGCCTGTCTTGCCTAGTACCTTTCCTCTGATCTCAACATTGCTCACACGGTGATTCCACCATATGCGAGCAATGCTACGAAGACATATATGGTTGAAAAACTGTAACTGTTTTATGCCTCCTACTTTTAATGGCCATGTCTCACACGTGTAAAACATGACAGAACAGACTGCAGCGTAGTATCCTCGTCTTTTGATGGGTAGTTGCATATCTCGTCAGTCGGCGCCACAGGTGACAAGAGTTGGCAAATGCCACAAGGGCCCTTTGTATCCCGGCTGAGATTTTGTCAGCAATCAGCCTGTTCGGGATGATGCAACTCACACAAGTAAGTGAAGTGGTCGACACATTCCGATGTACTACTTACTCTATAGTCCATCTAAAGGGTACGATGCTTATTGCATCTGGTGGCTCAGATGAGCTAGAACAGCTGACTATTATCAGGTGAGGCTGCTTCCTTTATCTTAATCGCGCAGTTTGATTACTAGGTCTTACGGTCCTTACGTAAGAGTTGCTAAATTTATGCCTAAGGGATTTACTATTGTAGTCCCTGTGCCGGGAGACTACCGTACTTTAAGATGTTGCAGGAGTCAAGGGCTCAGTGTTGGTTAGAACTTAGAAGTCGTAAGCAGCTCAACTCACCTTTTTCTGCGGCATCACTTATGTTTTGAGGAGATTCGGCAACTCCAAAAGTAAGTGAAGTGGTCGTCACATCCCATGACTTCACTCCCTACCATTATGCTGAGAGTCGTTGCAAATCAGTCGTGTGACATAATCTTACATTTCACAGGCGCGAGCAAAACTCATGTCAGACTCACTGAAATTTCTACTCAACGCGTTTAGAAGACCCTGCATTTTGCTAGTGTCCTCAGCTACCAGGACAATATCGTCTGCATACTCTAAGTCAGTCGGATGATCTTCGGGTAGTCGGTCAATCCCTAAAAAGTCAGACGTTAGTAAGACTGTTTTCATTAGCACGTCAATAACGAAGTTAAATAGGAACGGCGACAATGGGCATCCCTGGTGAACAGCACCAGTTATCGTCAATTTACATGATAACTCTCCACTAACCCTGACACGGCTGCGATTAGAGAGCTTTGGTTGGCATTATATACTTGCTCGGTACTCCCTTCATAGTCAGACACTAGCACAACACCTCACGGTTGGCAGTGTCAAATGGTTCCTTCAAGTCAAGAAATATGGCAAGTGTCAGCCACCGGAATGTATGTCTGTGTCCTACAACCTGTAGGAGGACGAAAATATGATCGATGCATCCTCGTTCAGCTCGTCTGAAAGCTGCCTGGTTTTCTCGACTTCACTGTTCTCCAGCTCCAGTTAGGTGTCGGATAACCATGGACCCTTGGATCTCGGATATAATATTAGTCAAACTAATTACCTTATGGTTGTCACAACAAGATTTCTCTCCCTTCTTATGGACTGGGATGATTGGAGAAGCAAACCAGTCTGACGGCACTACGTACCTCTGGCTTCATATACTACCAAATAGTTGAAAAGCAATCCCTAAAGCACATTACCACCGTTTCACTACTACCAAAGCATAACCAGGCGGACGGACCAAAAAAATTTACAAACTAACATGATTGTTTCAAACATGATACGTTCCAGCGTAAAGAGACTGACAATATCTGCTGAAATGCATCAAAACGCATTCAGCATAACGTGTAATTTTTCAAACAAGTAGGAAATGTGGGACCCGGTGAATTTGAAAATTTGCTTATCACAAAAGACAAGAAAAAGAGAGGGTATTTAAACACAAATTCTCCAGACTTTCAGGTTATCTATAGGTTTTTCACAAAACATATCTTATATTAAACATGGTTTACTTACCAGGACTTGGGCAAGTAGCTGGTTGACCCTGAATATTTCCCACTTGTGAAGTCATAGGGGAAGACGATGATACTGAAGTTTGCATAAACGACGGATAGCTTTGCGCAGGAGACGTTTCACGAGATACCACGGATAGTGGACTGACAGACAAGCTAGATATAATAGTGGATGGAGTGGACACCTGTGGTTGTGGTGTTCCATCGGTGCCAGGATTTTGCACAACAGTCTCGACTGAAGGTGCAGTGTTTGGAACGTCAGACTGATCCTTTACACTTGAAGTAACACTTTTAGGTGTGGAAGATACTCCAGTCTACAAAAAAGATTATAGTTTAAACTACATTGTATTCGGCAATTTCAGCGCTCAAAAAACAATTTAGCAGTTTGAACTCTAAACATGAATAGTCTGTCGTTAAGTAATGAAACTTTGTCAACAAAATAAACAGCTGTTAATCTGTAACTATGTAGTGAAGTTGTCAGGGTTTTTTTTTAAAAAGTCATGTTCTATAAATTTCTAAAGTATTGATGCTTGCAGAAGAATGAATGTACAACTCGCTATCGTCATCAAGGGATAAGAAGACAGGGATATAATGAAGTCATGTATAACTGCGCTCTGAAATGTAAAAAATACATGTCTTGACAACAGCATCAGTAACCATCAACTGATAGTCTACTACATAACATTTCGCGCTATGGTTACGTCTTGAGGAATTCACACATTTACTCATATGTAAATATAACTTCATAATGAACGACTTATAGCCCCCACTTCTCAAATCAGTCCAAATTGATAAAACGATAAGCACTTGGACTAAAAGTTGCTTACTTAAACTGGAAAAAAGCAAATTGAGGATGTAGTGTAATTGCGTTATATTTTCCATGGAACTGAAATCTCCAGTGAAGCTAACTGGGAGGTGATGTCAATGATGACAAGAAATAACAGATGAGTGGAAGACGAAAACAAGCATGAGAGATAAAAATTCAAATTGTGCATTGGAATGGACAAAAAGCTTGTAAGTCTACAATTATTTTTGAGACTGATATAAAGATACTTAGCTTATTCTTTCTGGAGGATTCAAAATATGAAACTCTAAGTCAATAATGCTGATAATATACTATAAAATTCACAATGTTAAAAGGAAGAAGTGGTAAAAAATCGCAGTTCGATTCATACTATTACCAGTTAACACCAACATGAATCGAAGTGGACAAAAGGCAAAAGAGTAAAAACAGATACACTGAAAGGTATAATGAGTGAAAAGAAATCAAAGGAAATATATTAAAGCTACAGAACAATGAAATGCTCATGATTCACAAGAAGTAAACGCATAGATGCATTTACACTAGTGCAACCCTCACTTTCTTCTCAGTTATAAGATTAGATATCAGAGAAGCGAGAAGAAAATAGAGCCTTTTCGTCTATAAAATCAGAACAGTGTGGCCGAACTAACAACTAGGAAAACAAAATAATGAAAATAGTATAAGCAAGATGAAAGGCTCAATGATCAAGATGTTTAGGATTTAGATGAGGACAAAAAGAGGATCCACACACGAAATGGAGATCAGTTTTGAGACACTCCCTGTACAGTCCCCACACAAAGGTGTTGTTTGTCTCACAGACCTCAACTGCGACAATTATATGGTTTAAGCTAACCAACGACTTCATAGATCTGTCTGCTTGGTCTAACCATCATAAGCATTTCTCCAATCCAAACATGCTTCAGTCAACAGCACACAGAAGCAAACAATAAGTTGACACGTATGAAACATGTTTAAGTCAGTTTAGTTGATGATGTTCACAACCTTATCAAACAATTCCTTTCCCCTACCTAGAACTCTACAATTAACTCGTGTATGGCTTATACAGCAGCTTGGCACCAGAAAGTGCACGTCTGCAAAGAGATTATGCAGATAATCAGGATGAGGTGACGACCGTGTATGAAATCTGCCTGAACCTCTCTTCCATTTGTCAGTCGCAAACTGATAATCGACGTTAAGATCTTAGAAACTACGATAGTATTCCAGTAATTAGCACACTCTAGTTTCATTACATTCAAGTAACTGCAAGGTGAGAGAGGGTTAGTAGTACTTATCACTGTCACGTCGAATAATTACGAGGTTGCACATGGAAAAGTGACCCCCTGAAACCCTCATGCTGGATGTTGACTACTTTATGATTTCATGACATAAATCAACCAATTATTGAAGAGTTTGCTTTGATTCAGGTTCAAAACAGTTTAGACGTTTTGAAGTAAAAGCTACTCTTTGTAAGATTCACATACTATTAAATCTAGCAAAATGAGGCGTTTACCTTCTGTATGAAAGTTTTCATATTGTTAAATTCGTTTCAAATTATATTAAAACAAACGTTTTTGTTTGAATATAGTATTGCTGTTGAGTCCCACGCTGACGAATTACTATCACTAAATTAAATGATTGGACACTGTGATGCACAGCACAACTGGGGTCATTGGTTGAAGGATCCATACTATTGAATGAGTTGGTCGATTTCGAATGTTTTGAATTTTCGGTTTTTTCGTAGCAAAATAGGCTATGATAATTCCCGGTGATTGACGCACCTAGCCAGCAGACTTAAGACAAATTACTTTTACCCAAGTGTTTTATGCATCCTTCGAAAATCCCTATTGACTATCCATGGTCTATGCTTCGATTACTGATATCACAATCATGTTGATCAGGTCATCCTTTTAAGCACAACTGTCACTATACAACTATGACTGCATTACTGTGACCATGTAGCTGTAAATACAGGTACTTAATATTGTGAATGAGCTTGATTGTGCTGTTTTGAGGGTCTGTTTGGGACTGCCTGGAATTGCCAAATTGTATGAATATATAAATACACAACTATAATCCTTGTTTTTCCTGTGTGGGTCTGACAACCTTAGCCTTAGTTAATACGAATTACATTAGTGTACTACTCTATAACAAGAAAACGGTATATAACCACCGCTTATTATAGCACACTTAAGACATGTCTTCTCAGTGGCTGGTGCATAACTGTCTCGTTTATTATCTTATCCCCATAAATCAATCATTAAAGGCTACGTAGATGAAAGAGCTAGATCACAGTTCAAACATCTACGGTAAGGGATTGAATTCAAAGGTTGCTTTACCTACTAGCTGAGGCTGGAAAGTCTTAATAGGAAGTGGTTCTTCGTTCATAATTCGGTCAGAGTCAGTATCAAAATAAAACCTGGCATTACTGCGTAACCGTCCAAGTTGCCGTACCTTGTATTAACACACTGAGACATAATGCAAGAAGATGAAAAACGGGAGAGGTAGAGATCATGTAATAACACAAGAGGAGAAAAGTGAATGACGAAATATAATTATAATGACCAGGATGAAGATAAGGAGTGGGTGCATCTATACCATCCCGATCGATTGAGTGAGTGTTACTTGAGAAACCTACATATTTTAGTGGGTAAATGAGTGCGTTAATAGGTTACTAGTGTACTGCTCACTGTTCGAACACCGATACTGATATTATGCATTCGTCGAAAACCAATTCCCAAACACTAACATCTAAACACCTAATTTCACAATTCAAGACTGATAATAGTGGTGATGATGTAAAATAATAGGCGAGATTTGCAACCCAGGGATATGGGTGCGTGAACCTCAAGAGAGAAAAGTTACCCTACATATTAAAACCTCTACATACACGTGCGCAAGAATGAAAATCCAAAGCGTATTGGTAAAGCACGTTAGCCAAGACAGAGAAGGTCAGTTGTTGTCGTTTTTATCAACCAATCGGAACACAAAACGCTGAAGGTCACTGAGGGGGATGACAAAGGCTGGAAAAAGAGAGATAGACAGACCAGTAGATATGTAAAGGATGCATAGGCCTATCGATCGTCGATAACCAGTATGTATGTCATTAAGCGCCAAGCCGTAAACTGTGAAGAAATAAATTCGATCCAATAAGCAAAATTGATTAAAACGGCTTTTCGCAAAAAACAACTACGATGGTTTTGATGTCGATGCAGGCAAAAGGCTGAAGTATTAGGCCATAGAAAAACGCGAAACCGAATAGACTTAGTGTATGTTTCAAATGACTCTCACTAGTATTTACCAACTAACCGATGCCAAGATCACAATATTTAAGACCTACTCATCAGTGAGTAATGAAAGAATAAACAGAATCAGCAGTTTGCCTATGGAGTTCCTGCAATATCTCAAATTTTATGAACATATCGACTTTAAAAGTCGCAAATATATAAAAACACACCAACAAAAAGTCTCTTTATGCTGCTTACCTTTGATACATTAACTAACCGAATTGTTTTCCTGTTATTCATTCACAGGACTAAGCTCAACAAGTTTTTTATACCTCATACGACTGGGTGCTGCGACTCACAAAATTATGGAAGTATTTAGTGTATGACTAGGGTAGAAGAACTGTTATCTTTTGAACTCACTCAGCTCCAAACGGTTGCTAAGTTACACTAACCTTTTCTCATGTAACAGACTGGTTGTCTTACATTCTCATCAGAAAGTTTAACATTCGGTTCATTATACCAAGAGTTAAACACAAAAATCCTACTGATAAATAATGTTTGCCACATAAGAATTAATTATCTTGACTTAGTGACCTAGTGATGAACGGTCTAGCAACTCATACGAAAAGCACAGGGGTCCACATTTCAGGTAAACATTGATGTTAGCTAACATCTGACTAGTCCTGAATAAAATGAAAGGTTGCAGTGAGGAGTTACATAATTTCAGGTGAAAACTATTGATATGAAGACCAAGACAAAGGATCTTTGGAGCAAGATCACTTACATACCATTTAAGTGTAACCAAAACCTGTTACAGCAGCTGACCTACCTCACTTAGTCTCGACTGAGGACGACAACCGGTCTCCTCAAAAGTACTAGGTGTACCTTCACTCTGGTTGTCAGATCTGGTGGCTGCATTATTAGTACTGCTATTATTAGCATTAGGAGATTCAGATGGTACTTCGTTAATTTTTAGTTGATAATCCCTTGACAAACTGCGAGGTCTTGGTTGAGACTGAATGTGCTGCGGTGATCCGAATGGGGCAGTGTGAGGTGACCAAGACGACGGTTGAGACCCACTACTGTAAACTGGCGAAGAAAGTTGTGCATTTTGGAAAGCCGCATGTGACGAACTGTTGACATAACTAACATTTCTTGAGGGTGGGCGCTCAATTTGATTTGGAGTACTTCCTCCAGATGGAGTAGGCTGAGGTGGTCTTGATTGATTACAAGAATTGATGTTAGCATAATCTAGGCCAGGAGGTTGGGGTGCACGAGACCTTTGTATTAATGACTGTGAATGTGGATAGTATGGATAATGTGGACCAGGTGGATATGGAAGATAGGATCGAGTATATGGATCCGCAAAACGTTGGGCTCCAGAGAAGGAATACGTGTTTGCCTGGAAGGTGAACATAATAGATATAAAGAATGTTTAGAAACAGATTATTGGTTCATAACAACTACGTTTTCTAACTCTTCAGTATCAAATTAAGTCATAAACACTGTGGGGTGACGAGCTTTTGAAAACACCAGAATTAAAGGTATAGCGCACGATTCGAATCCATGGGCGCATGCTAGATAATCGAAAGTTTAGACCATTGACCAACAGCTTCACTCCATTGATAAGCTTTAAAATTCAGTCTAACACAACTGTCTTATAGATGTCAAGACTAAAGGTCTGTATTAGTCACCCACTTTCAATGCTGCTAAATATAAGTTGAAGAAATGTATCCCTCACACCATAATTCAAAAGCTATTTTGTTCGAAAAACGCATTCATGATTTTTAAAAAGTTATGCAATCTAGCTGCCAAATGGATGATACATTGGCTCAGAATTCAGTTACGCAGATGAACGTAAAGGAAGAGGGGAACTAAGGTTTTTTTGAGTGTACAACCTCGAGGGAAAACCAATAGCCTTTTTTATTTTAACCAAGAGAAAGCGATAAGTAGTGAAACAGTAAAATCCTGCATTCTAACAAAAATACATAAGACAGTGTGCATTACCACATATTTAGCCTACCATTTTAGGAGAAAAAACACTTGCTCAATTTGAGGAACTCATGAACACCAAATCTTGATTTTAATACTTAGACATTTCGGTAGGATGCAGTTACTACAACACCAAGAAGACTGAACACATCTAATATCTTGGTTTAACAACCAAGCCGAGTGAGTATATATCTCAGATAGGGAAACCGTGGGTCGATTTATCACTTTGAGCCTTTTGCTGAGTAAACTAATGACTGATGAAAGTACACAAAATATTCCTCTCATACTTAAGCGATATATCAACCAGAAACTAGGTTAACATTTTACATGTGATAGACAAAGTAATGTATAACACTTGAAGAGCATTCGTTCAAGTTGCCACACTCCAGAAACAGAGAAAACCAACAAAACTAGAGCTATACTAAGCTAAAATCTACTCCATAGTCACGTACACGTTAATGCAGTAGGAAATGAACCACACCTATTGTCTGTGATGCTAATGATACCACCTGGCTGCTCAGAACTTCGGAAGGTGGAGCGAGGTTCGAACTCGTAACATCGGTTGAACGTTGAGTTCCTAGACCAATGAACCTCAACTCCACAGTGATAAAAGTAAAAAAAGTAGAAGAACAGGGCGAAACCAAATGAACAGTAATAAGATGTTTGAGAGGTAAAGGAAGATATAGAGAGAATACAAATACGTATCCACGACCGACCTTCATGCATGCTACCCACAATCTCCAAACACTAGTTCTCAAGCTATGCAGCTAGCATAGCTAAGATTAAGAGTCGACAATTTAATGGGTTTTCACGTTTGGAGCGACACAACAAAAGAATACTTTGTATTGCATGGAAAGCCAGTGTTTACATAAGTATGATATCAAACTAGAGGGTAGATGAAACTGAACTTCACGGATTATAAGATGAAAATTAAAGAAAAAACATGTCCGTCATTATTTTATTTAAAATAAACTTAGTAAAGGATGGGCACCAAGAGGTACACCATACAAAATAATAGGACGACACCAAGTCATAAAGGTGGTACAGAAACAAATAAGAAGGAGTTATTGAAGAAGCAGTCTCAAGCATACGTTCAGTGAAACACTACTTTCGTTTTACTTTTCAGTAATGGAGAAAACAAGAAAACAAACACAACTGCCATCAATTTCCATTTCGAGCTATATTTACCATCGTCTCAATCCACTGCGTTGCAATTTCCACCAGATCCTATCCAGGAAGTGGTAAGGTACCAATGGAGGCTAGCCCAACACAACTATTTCTCACCAAACAGTAACACGTCATACAGTGATAATCTATCAGCTTATTCACACCAGTAATAGTGGGAGCGGACAGTGAACGATAAAGAAGTCGAGGGGACAACATTTCTAACACACAGATAAACCGCCGAAGATGGTGTTCCTCATGACAGAGACAAACAGACAAATCAGCATGAAAATCAACACAAAACGACATTAGTCCGAGTTGTCACACTTCGCAGCAACATCCAACGAAGTGAAGATAGAATGGAAGACAAAATTATGTGAGGGGACAAACATATGAAGATTAGTGGAACTATTCAAGACTTGGGAGATGATAAAGAGTGTAAACATCTACGGCACTGTGACTGATCTTAAACCCACTACCAAGTCTCCAGTTATTGAGTCCTATTATCTCGATGATCTCAGTCAGACACATATTTCTCTACATAGCTAGAACTTACAATCGAAACTTACTGAACTGGCACCATGTCCTGATCTGACTTCCCTAAGCATTTATGTAACCCAACTCCACTTCTGCTACTATTGCATTCTGAAGTAAGTGGTAACTTGGCACGCACCGTACATACCAAATCCGCTTTGGGTGAAGGTTGACAACTAAATAAAGTGAGTTGCCTTATTTGCGTAGTACCCTACACCTAAATTTTCTATTGCTCATACAGTGATTCTATGCGCCTCGGCAATGGTATGAAAAAACGCTCAAAATCCTGAAACATTTTTATATCCTTGGATTTCAACGGCTACACCTCAGCCCCACACAAAAGGACAAAGTGAATTCCTGAAAAGTGTTAGACGAACATTTTGTAGGTCAGTTGAGAATTTGTCACCAATCAACCCATTTGGGATGATTTAACTTCTTAAGTAAGTCGAATGTTGAACGGTCAACGCATCCTAGCACTTCACTCCCTATTGTTAAACTAGGAGTGGCTACACACCAGTCCTGAGGCCTCAATCTTACGCTTGACAGGTGCAAAACGCATCCCAAATATACTCAGACTTCTGCTTAAAGCGTCCAGAAGATTCCACATTTTGTCAGCGTCTTCACCTAACAAGACAATGTCGTCTACATACTTCCGCGTGAACTAGGTGCCGTCTTGGGAGTAAGTCAACCAGTGAAAAGTGAGAGGTACCTAGGGTTATGCCCATTAGCGCGTCCATAAAAGTTCAATAGAAATGGTGACAGTAGACATCTTTTACGGAAGTCAAAGTGCACTCAACAACCACACGCACGTTCGGATAGTAGACAACGAGTCAAGCCTACTGTATGAGGAAAAACGATACTACCTGGCTGCCCAGACCGCGGCAGGTGGGGTGCGGTTCAAACTCGTGACCCACAGCTCCACATTTTTGGTCGACAAACTGGTTGTCGTTACTTCAGATGATAAGTCGCTATAAACCCTCACCCAGCTACGTCAGCTTTGATTAGCATTACATACTTCCGTGGTACTTTTTCTACAGTCAGATACTATCACAACGATCGTTAGTCAAACAATCACTGAAAAGGATGATACAATAAAACCCTGTAAGACATACAGCTGGAACGTTGCGTGAAACGCTATGAAAAATGGTTACGCTGGTCGCACTTCAAAGTTTAAAACCAGAGTTTTCTAGGACGGTGGTAGGAGATTGATGATAACAGAGACAGAAGTATTGGGTAGTATATGAAGCCAGAGGTACGTAGTGCCGTCAGACTGGTTTGCTTCTCCAATCATCCCAGTCCATAAGAAGGGAGAGAAATCTTGTTGTGACAACCATAAGGTAATTAGTTTGACTAATATTATATCCGAGATCCAAGGGTCCATGGTTATCCGACACCTAACTGGAGCTGGAGAACAGTGAAGTCGAGAAAACCAGGCAGCTTTCAGACGAGCTGAACGAGGATGCATCGATCATATTTTCGTCCTCCTACAGGTTGTAGGACACAGACATACATTCCGGTGGCTGACACTTGCCATATTTCTTGACTTGAAGGAACCATTTGACACTGCCAACCGTGAGGTGTTGTGCTAGTGTCTGACTATGAAGGGAGTACCGAGCAAGTATATAATGCCAACCAAAGCTCTCTAATCGCAGCCGTGTCAGGGTTAGTGGAGAGTTATCATGTAAATTGACGATAACTGGTGCTGTTCACCAGGGATGCCCATTGTCGCCGTTCCTATTTAACTTCGTTATTGACGTGCTAATGAAAACAGTCTTACTAACGTCTGACTTTTTAGGGATTGACCGACTACCCGAAGATCATCCGACTGACTTAGAGTATGCAGACGATATTGTCCTGGTAGCTGAGGACACTAGCAAAATGCAGGGTCTTCTAAACGCGTTGAGTAGAAATTTCAGTGAGTCTGACATGAGTTTTGCTCGCGCCTGTGAAATGTAAGATTATGTCACACGACTGATTTGCAACGACTCTCAGCATAATGGTAGGGAGTGAAGTCATGGGATGTGACGACCACTTCACTTGTGTGAGTTGCATCATCCCGAACAGGCTGATTGCTGACAAAATCTCAGCCGGGATACAAAGGGCCCTTGTGGCATTTGCCAACTCTTGTCACCTGTGGCGCCGACTGACGAGATATGCAACTACCCATCAAAAGACGAGGATACTACGCTGCAGTCTGTTCTGTCATGTTTTACACGTGTGAGACATGGCCATTAAAAGTAGGAGGCATAAAACAGTTACAGTTTTTCAACCATATATGTCTTCGTAGCATTGCTCGCATATGGTGGAATCACCGTGTGAGCAATGTTGAGATCAGAGGAAAGGTACTAGGCAAGACAGGCAAGTCGATTGACGAGGTTGTAAACATTAGTCGACTGAGATGGCTTGGACATGACATGTACTGGGCACGCCAAGCCACTACCTACGTCGACATGTCATGTTAGGAGAAGTTGGATTAGGATGGAAAAGGGTTCGGGATGGCTGGACCAAGACCTGCCACCAGTCCACGAAGTCCCTCACTGTTGACCTGAGTAGTGTGGGGAGATGTAGACTACCTGGTTGGGGTTCCCGAGTCCAAATGAATCAATGGTTGAGGGCACTTGGTGATATGGTTGAAAACCCACACTAATCTTTATCTTCAGATTGTATATTCTCTCACACTACTGTGTTTGCTTTGATATCACTATTTTTCTG